ATATATATATATATATATATATACACACACATTTGTGGGGGGTGTAAAATGAGGATAACATACGACTGCATATCATTTAACTGGAGAAATAAAAAACCTAGGACAGCTTGTTTGTCAATGAGCATAATATTTTTGTTTAGATATGATTTACAACCCTAAATATCACACTCACTGATACTTGAGAGTGACCTTGTTTCTGTAGTAATAAACCAATGCTCTGTGTATCATATGCATGATGGGTTCAAAGATTCCTATACATTCAATTTTTAGCAAAGTCCTCAATGCCATATTCATGTGATTTATTGTGTTTTTATATTAAAATTTTATGACAAAACATCTAATATGAAGTAATCTGCTGATTGAATTACGTTGTAATGTTTATGAGTCCTCAGTTTGTTCTTTTCTTTCAGCATGTTTGTTGTCTTCCAAAATTTGTAGTGTATTGGAGAGATTTACACATTTTGATAAAAGTTTAGAAAAACAGCTTCACACTACTAGTATGTTCTACTATCAAACAGTTGTGTATGTTAACCCTGACAAAGCCGCAAAGGCAAAACGTTGGTTGAAATAAAAATATATTCTTTTATACTTATCTGGAGTTGTATTTATAATCTTTCAGCTTGTATTATCCACCTTTTGCAGAACACATATGTATTTAGTTTACACCAAGTATGAGATTGTGTGTATAAACACAAATTATACCAAAGTTAAAACTTTCCTTGTAATTCACTTCAAACTATTTTTTTCACAACAAGAAGCCTTATAAACTCCTCATATTAACACTAGGGTATTGCCAAGAAAATTTTTCAAAAGAGTAATTACGTTTTTTTACTTAACAATTGAATTTCTCAAAGAAAATTCGGATGAGAACCATTTTTAATCTTTCAAGAATAAGAATCATGTAAAAAAAGATCCTCGTAGGATTCTTTATTTCAATTCTGCTGTTTTTACTGAAATAAACTAAGTTAAACTTTCTTGAACCAAAGCCCTTAATGATATTGATCATATTTAAACTTTAGTCTCCTGTTTGTTGATAGTTCAGATAGCCCATTAAAAAAACACAGTTATTCAGAACAAACCAAAAATTAAAGGAAGCATGAAATAACAAGTAATGGGTGTATCATCAAGCTTCTAAGTTGCATTGCATCTTTCTACTTCAAACATGCTTATATATGCTTCACAAGTGGTTGAATGTTGTGCAACACAGCATAAGAATCTTAAATAACATCAAATAGATTTACATTGTCAACATTTTTCTTCATTTATCATTACCCTTGACTTGGTAAGTTACAAGGTTACAAACAACCTTCTGTCAACATCTCAAATCTATTCATGGTTCTAAAAAAAACATATCAAATATATTTGTGTGTACCATCTTTCTCTTTCTCTCTCTCTCTATATATATATAAATAAATAGCTTACAGACTACTGGCTACATTAATTGTTAATAGGCGATTAAATCAGTACTATAAAACAATAATGAATTAAATATCGCAATACCCTTAGCGATCCTGGTTGTCAACTTATTGTCATAACAGATAATGTCTGTGATAATAGCACCCAAATGCATTGGAGATATTCCATCTATCAGACAACATTCAAATGCCGATGTCAATCTAATCAGCAGTCATGGAAAATCATAAAAAAAATCAATCAAATAAGGATACGAAGCTGAGTGCATTTGGATTTTGTCTGATAGATGCAATATCTCCAACACATTTGGGTGCTATTACCACAGACATTATCCGTTATGACAATAAGTTGACAACTAGGACCGATAACGGTATATATATATATATATATATATATATACATAACTCAAGTTTTCATTATGCAAATTAAACCTATAGCTTCAGCTCACTGTCATGGTTGATCAGGATTCAAACAATTGAGCAAGCAAATTATTATTAAACTAAATTATATATTGTAAGGCCAAGAGCCATACAAGTAATGACCTCAACTACATCAAGTCTTCAGACCAAGCACAGGTTACTTACATCTAAACTTATCCTCGAGGGTCCCTTGACAGAGTAGTACTATGCCAACTTTGAAGGACAGAATGCGAATGTAACCTGTTCTGGTAGAACTGGCAGAGAAGAGCAATAAGAAAAAGTGCATTACTATGTCAATATACAGGAAATATAAAAATAGAACATGCCAAATGCTCAAGGATAGTCTATAATCTCTTCAAGAAAATATATACACTATAAGAATGACAATAAATTCCAGTTAAGAATAGCTGCTTAGGTGTCAGGTGATGCCAGTTGGTTGCCTTCTCTGTGGTCCACAGTTCTAAATTAGGGTTGGCTGTGTCTGAGTCACAGAGCATAAGATGCCATTCAAACAATCTGATTTCTCTTTGCAGATTTATAATGAAAGGTGATGAACAACAGATAAATTAAATCTTAATATCAAGGCAAAAAACTTCTGTAGCTTTGAAACTTAATAAGTAAACTTAGCTATTTTCATGAATCTAGATCTGTAGTAAGTATTAATTAGTTAAAAATATGTTTTATAATTCTGGAGCTAAGATACATTTGTAGTGCACTATTTTTAAGCATAATCTAAAAATATCTTATAAAAACTCGATTATTTATGACCAGATATAATTAACGATTGTTCTTCTGTGGACTTCTAGATTTTGAAAACATTGTCTATCACAATTTCAACATTTTATACCAGATGTGTTATACATTATTGTTAATTAATGTTCCAAAATGTTGAAATGGATTACAGTAGAATAAGGATGTAATTCCTAAGATAATTCACAACTTACGTGTCAAACAAATTCAAGAGCCAGTTTAAACACAGATCTATACAAAGAGGTTTGTTGACTGAAGAAGCAGATTCACCGGCTACACCTTCATATATTGTTGAAAGACAGGTGATCATTTCTGTAATACTGATCAGCTTATCATTCTGAGCTCGAAGGCCATGCTGATCAAATGCATTGATGATATTGTTCAAGTTTATCAAATCCACTGGAAAACAACCAAATATTAGATATTCAACTAAACATTAAAGACAGACTGTTGACTAAACAAACATTGGGAACAGGTATCACATGTTTCTAATTCCAGAAGTGTAATATTCTGGTGGGTAGTTTGAAATAAAATTCAAAAATTTCATTGAACATCTGAGTAACTTTTAATGAACTTATGTAATGTAACGTTTTTCACAGTGCCTATGACTTTGACAAAAATATAATTGTAGTTTAAGAAGAGATGACAGGCGATGCCTATCAGAACAACATTTTTCTCTTAATATATCTGCTTTATTAACAAACATATCAAAATAGTGTTGTTTTATTTTCATAAAAATTAATTATTACAGTATATTATATATTATTATTAATTACTGCTGTGGTTTCAATGAATTATTGTGAAATACAAATTAATTTTTCTTTGTAAGAAAATGATTGTAATATGAACAATATTTTTTCTAAGTGTAAATATCATTCTGAGTTAAGCTGAATATGTTGTAATTTATAAACAACCAGAGTTTAAAATAATATGTTAAGAAAAATACCAAAAATTAATATATATTATTCTTATTAGACCAAAGCAAGAAACATAATTTATCATTTGACTTTTCCTATCATGGTTCTAAAACTTTAAAATAATCTCAAAGTACTTACAACTTAACTGTTTCTGCACAATGCGTAGTTTCATAGCTGTCCTGTATGCAGAATATCTGACTTCATTGTATTCAGCTGAAATTAAGAGGATGGCATAATTTGTAAATCACATGAATGGTATGCAAAAGTAGTTTCATTAGTATTACTGGTTATAATACATAAAATACCTTTAAATAGCATTATTCTTATTAATTTTACACTGATGAAGACTAATTGGCTATGTTAATTTAGTATAGACTAATTTAAATCTCCTAATCCAGCTAAACCTTGTGAGATATTATTGGGATTACAGTGATGATATCCAATCTTTGATTCAGCATTCTTTACTCATTATAGGTTTCAGTTTCACTGTACATTTATCAAATTATATACTTTGCATCAGCCTATTACATTTATTCATAGGTTATTTTTTAGTTCTAGCTTTTGATCAGAATTTATTAATGAAGACTATAAACTCATACATACTACACTATCTGAATAAACCCCAAAAGTACTAGATAAACCAATTTCAGAAGAAATACTTCCAAATCTACATCTCTATAAATACTGCTGAAGTAATCAGAGGCTCATTTTCCAAATCTCCTCCCCACTATAAAAATAATCTAAACTACAGTGTGCTTTTAAATTGTGAATGTACATAAATTGTATGAACATAACCTACAAAACATATGGGTCTATATATATATATATATATGAATATCTTAACAACTATTTGATGAACACTCAAAAACTGAAGCTATGATTATTTCACTACTGATAAGTTTTAAATAAACTTTTTATAAAGGTCAGACGTTTGGTTAATGTTGCATGTAACAGTTTGATTGCATTTAAATAAGACATTTTTTCCCTTCTCTAAAAATTTTAAAATCACTTTTTTGTTTTATAAGCTTAACATACAATACTCATCTATTAATTTTGGACAGTCTGTATCTTTAATATTACTTATTAACTATGAAATTTAACAACTTTTTAAATACTGTTCACTATAAGTGGTGTCCACATATTGCATCATGTGGAGATATTCTATGTTTTTACGTGTTACAATACTCCAAGTAAAGAACTGGCCAGTAAATGGTTTTAAATCACTACTGTTTATGCAAGATACATAAAAAGGGTACTAACAATAATTAGTGGGATTACAAACAATACCGATGGTATTTTTATTTAGTATTTTTTATTGTGACTCATACATTATTAGGAGTCCTACTACCAACAGTCATGGACTCACAAGCAATTTTGTTCCTAAAAAGTTTAGAAAAGTGTGTGAAAAAGATGATGGGGTATCATATGTAATGATAATTCTAGGGTTAATTTGCAAAATACTTTATTTGTTGTTAACTTAGATTAGCTTAGTTTTCACCTATGAACTTTCAACAGAAAAGTTTTATAGAATTCAATGTGTTTAGTTTTAAAATGCTGACCATGTCAGCTTCAATCATTGGCATCACTACCAAAAATTTTATTCTATGACTAATTCTATGACAGTATTAATGGAAAATGGAATACCATGAGAAATAATATTAGATATTACTGAATTAGAACAATCAATTTAAAATTATGCCTCCACACATGACCAAAATTCTTAGAATTCTTATCAATGTCACTGACTTCATTCGATTTCTCTTTTTCCAAGCTCCAAATACTGCACTATTTAAGAAAAAAATTATCTTTGAACAAAAATTTCTTTGATTGAAAACAAATGCTGACTAAATAAAAGTCCAGAGACACAGTTTTTCAAGTGGATTATTTTATTTTTGAATTGTATAACAAGTTTCAACTTCTCATGCCATGGTCATCAGAACTGACACCTACGGGGGAAATTGGACTGTCTATAACTAAAACAAAGCATTGCGACGGCTGTTGGACAGTGCTGACGCAACATTATTTCTGCCCAGTGCTCTGAAATGTAGGTAAGAGAAGTCGGCAAAATGGATCCAGGTTTCTAAACCTTGAGACAAGGAATAACTCCGTAGTCTGGGTCTGGTGGGGCTGAAGTTTGACTCGTGCGTGGTACTGCACCAGGACTAGGTGAGCCTAGCCTTCAACCTTGATTTTCAGAAAGCATTTGATAAGGTGCTCACAGAAGACTTGTTACAAAAATTAAATGTGGTTGTGGGAGGAATGTTATTAAACTGGATAGAAAAATGGTTGGAGAGCAGAAAGCAGAGAGTGGTAATAAATGGAGTTAGATCTGACTGGATCACACTTACAAGTGGTGTGTCTCAGGGCTCTGTGCTGGGTCCTCTGCTGTTTGTTGTTTATATTAATTATATTGACTATGGAATGGTGATCAAATTTTGAAGTTTGCAGATGACATTAAGATTTCTGGGGCGGCTAGTTGTATCAAAAATGCTGCAGACTTACAGGGAGATTTATATCATTTGATGCCTTGGGGCAATACGTGGCAGATGATGTTTGACTATTCAAAATGTAATGTGATGCATGTAAGTTTTCACAATTCAAATTATTGTTACAATTTAAATGGAATACATTAAATACTGTGATTGAAGAAATAAATCTTGGTGTTGTGATCGAAAAATCACTTAAGTCATCTAAACAGTGTATTGTTGCTAGCAATAGGGCTATTAGGATTTTAGGTAGCATCTATAGAAATATTGAATACAAGACAAGGGGTGTTATTATTTTAATGTATAGATCACTTGTAAGACATCATTTAGAAAAGGAGGTCACCAAACCTTTTTTGTACAAGGGCCAGGAGACAGATCTTTTTAGGCTTCGTGGGCTGGAGAGGTCGTGGTAAAATTAATTAGGGATGCATACATGATCAGATTGGCTTTTGCTCAATTACATTTCATTTTTTGTTTTTATAATATTAAAAAATTATATTATTACTTTAATAAACTTTTGGTGAGCTGGATGCAGCCATAGTTTGGAGACCCCTGATTTAGAGTACTAGGTACATTTTTGGTCTCTCTTCCTCAAGAAGAATATTAAATTATTGGAGAAGGTTCAGAGAAGAGCCACTAAGATGATACCTGCGATTGTGGGATTGTTCTATAAGGAGAGACTTAAATCTCTAAACTTGTTTTCTCTAGAGAGGAGAAGGGTCAGAGGGGATTTGATTGAGGTGTTTAAGATTGAGGTATTGATAATATAGATCCATAAAACTTTTTTGTGCTTAGCAGTGAAAACAATAGGAGAAGTAGTCATAAGTTCAAATTTTGGCAGCATAGGAGTCGTCTGCAGTTTAGACAGTATTGCTTTTCAAACAGGGTGGATAGCTTTTGGAATGAGCTGCCTTCAAGGGTGTTGGAGGCAAAAAATGTAACTGAGTTCAAAAAAAGATTGGATGAATTAATGAATAGTAAAGGGTGCTTATAGTTGGGAGATGGAAGGGACATCCTTGATGGGCTAATAAGCTTCTGTTTGTCACTTTAAAATTTCTGTTGTACAAAATTTTATAAAATTGTGCGAACATTTAGGAAATATACAGGGTGACGCCTACGTTTTGATTTAAATTAAGTTTTAGTTCACTCACAGTTAACTCTTCTTTTATTTTTCTTCTGTTAATACTTTTCACATTACATAATATTTTAAAGTTGCTAATATTGATTGGAAATTGATTTGTTGTGTTTATTTGGTGCTTCGATAATTTATAAAAGCCAACTGATATCTGCCCCATCCACTCAAAAAGCTGTGTCTCTGTACTAATATTTATAGTATATATATTGAATATCCTCTCTGTACGACAAATGCTGAATAAGTTACTGAGGAACTAACTCTTACTGAACTCGATGAACAACTAAACGATTATATATCACTTGTATTTATACTGAACTCTCACATCTACCAAATGCGGGAATTTTCTGTATCGTATGAGTAAAACTACTTCAATAAAAATTCTCGATCTTAACGACATGCACCCTCTAGTTACTGTCTAAATTAAAACATTGAAAATATAGCTTACAACAATATCTTGAAATATAATTTTAACTATGATTATGAAAAATAGCAAGTAACTTACCTAAGGATTCCATTAAATCAATCATTTTAGGGTGGTCCCAATGTGTTGTCTCTGATAAATGGCTAGAAAGTAAGGTGGATATATATAAATATACATAGTGGTTATTACATGATTTTCATTGAACAAATTAACAATCACATCACAAAACACAATATTTTCAATATATCCTTTAGCGTTCTTTATTGCTGTAGCATCATGAGCTTTTCTTGTTGTCTTATCCCACAATCCCATTTTACATTTCATATGGTGATAACTTGTAAACATTTTCAAATTTAAGAATATTACCTATTGTATGTTCCAAATGTTATACCTTAATGGAGGATTCAGTAGTAAAATGATTTGGTAAACATAACTATTACATTTGAGCAGAAATGTGAGATAGCGATTTTCATTATAATTTTGTGAACAATTAAAACATTTTTCTTTTTTGCATCTATACGAATTACATTATTGCTTGTTGAAAAGTTTTGCATTACAATAATTTATCTTGTAAATGACTTTGCAGAGAAAGAGAACACTGTATGCGTTCAGTGTCGTTTTTTAAACGCTGAAGTAAACTGTTGGCATTAGTGTCGTTTAGTAAAATGTGATGTAAATCGTATTCATTAACGTCGTTTGGTGAAATTTTATGTAAATAGTTTTATTTTTGCTCTGGAATCAGCTTTGATTAAGAGTTAGATATATGTAACACAGTAAATAAAGTTTTGTTTTGTTGTGTTTTATAATCCCTTGAGTGGGAGAATCAAGAGTACAGTATCCAACAAACAACTTGTGTAGCCTAAGAACTAGGTATTTAGGACTGATCCGTATTGTTTTGGGAAGTGAAATATTTTTACCAAGTACCTAGTAAACCAATTATTCAAATCAATACACAGACTGTTCGTTGTTCTTTTAATTAGGCAAGCGTAACACTATTTTGAATTATGATTTTCTTCACTGCTTATGTATTAGGTCGTCAAGAAATTAATGTCGCTTTTTTTA